TTGCATTGTCCTCAAAAAAATGCTCTTAGCTGCAAGACAACGTAACTTTAAGACTCTGATAGCGTTTAGTAGCCTTTAGGACCTAGCAAGAATCTGGTAGATCCCCATTTTTCTATATACATGTATATGTACACGCGCTTGATATGGTAAATAGTAATAACATGTTTTTTGTGATAGCCTTCCGTTTAACGGCAGCGAAGAAGACAGAAATATGGACAGAATAGGGTGAGTGAAATTTACGAGATCCTCAACTACGATGTGTTGTGTTGTGAAAATCAAAGCTTAATAAAGTCTCTTCAATACAATGCAATATGAATAATAACTAGATGGATTAGAAAAATGAAACGAGAAAAGTGGAAAGAAAACTGCAATAATACGAGACCAAAATAACGCTGAGTTAACTTGACTTATTGAATATGGAAAACTAAAAATTTTATAGCAAACTATGAATTTTACTTTTACGCCAAAATCGGTATCTCATATATCAAATCATTTCATGCTCTAAAGCTCTTAAGTGTGTGAAGAAAATTATTGGGAAAATATTTAGAGAAAAATATACGATATGGGAAATATAGAACATATTTCTTTAAATATCACTCATACGTCAAGAGACTGTTCTTGCAAAATTTTTAACGATTAACTGATTGAAAATGTTTTTGTTTTGTTTGTTTGTTTTTTTTTTTTTTTGTCAATAGGATTAATTTAAAATATATATGTTACACCTACCTGTCGTACAGAAAGTTGTAAACGTTTAGCGTTTTTTTTTTTTTTTTTTTTATCATATTATTATTGTTATAATCAAAATGCGTGAAACTGTCAAGTGCCTATTATTTGTTTTAAATGCGAATTTTAAACATAAGAACCGAACAGCTTCACCCATTCGATTATAAATAGATAATCAACAATATTGTCGACAAAATGCCGGATATTTCGGATATTATCGCTTGTGCAGTTTATAAACAATATTGTCAGATTTATATAGTTTTAATATTCAACGATTTACTTCATTGAAATGAAATAAGTCCGGAAAATGTTGCTGAATTTTTGTTTGGAATTTTTTTTTTTTTTTAACTTGAACACAATCCTAGCGAACTACTAATGTCAGCAACGGTAGCAATAGCAGCAATCTTAATTTGCAGCCATGGGTTTTGTATGTGTTTATAAGTTTTTGTTTATAACGGAATTTTTTTTTTTTTTTGTTATTAATCTTTTGCATACAGATACAAGCTAACAAAACAAATTTGTTCGTTATTTTGCAATGAAACGATATCATCATCATATCGTTGAATGTACGTGAGGGAAAGATGGAATTTTGTTTTGTTGGTATTTAATTGATATACATGTATAAATATATGTGTGTGTGAAAATGTAGCATATATATGAATATGTATATACATATACATATATATATATATATATATATATATATATATATATATATA